TAAAGGGCTGGACGGAGCACGTTTGTTATAGGAAGAGGGAAGCCGACCTTTTGTGGAAAACCAAAGGCTCTGGTCTCTCTTGAGGAAAAGAAATGTTAATTGAAAAATTCCTCAAATAGGTAAAGGCTCTGAAGTTGCTTTACATAAAAGGTGTGAAATCACAGAGGGCAGGACAGAGAAGACCCTGCCGTTGGTTCTCTCTCCAATGGTGCTGATTAGCTTCCCATTCACAGACGCCAGGGGCTGACAGGACGAGCCCTTTCAGCAAAAGGGACCAATGGTGGCTGGGCCTGCGTGCCTGGGGAAGTCTGGATTAACTGGCCCCTTGACAGGGAGAATTAAACCAAAGACGCTTCCCATTAGATGCAGAGAAATGAAACCTGATGATTCACGTACATAACCAGTGCATGGTCAGTCATCTTCCATCTCGTACGTCAACAACTTCAGAAAACTCACCCTGTTGCTTTCAGTGAAGTTTCTCAGACATTCCTTAAAATCCCTGGACAGTGACTTCATCTCAGAACGTCTCTGCAAATGCTGCCCCAGATAAGAGGTGCGCACTGAGTGTAGACAGAACTGAGAACCCACCTGCCGGGGCGGAGCTGGGGGCCCAGGGAGGCATGGGGGAGCCATCCCGGGGCAAAGCGGTGGTCCCGTCCTGGGGCCCTGCCCCTTCCTGCCATCCCAAGGCGTGGGGCACAGATGGTGCTGCCCCCAGAGCACCGCCTGGGCTCCCTTCCCTCCCCCTCTCTGACCGCTACACCATCCAGCCCTTGGCATTGGCCACGATACCAACCGACAAAGAGGCTGAAGCCTCCTGGAGGCCATGGGCATCGGCGCTGGCTGTCGGGACAGTCCAGGCATCCAGACCTAGGGGAATGACATGGGCACGGCCTGGCACCGGGTCAGGGAGCATGTCCAGAGCACGAAGGAGACGGGTTCCCCTGAAGATGCGGGACTTAACACCACATGCGGGAAACATCAGGGCCAACGTAAGAATGAGATGTCACAAGATTTAGATTCTGGCTCTCAGCTATCAGTTATTATTATTTTTTAAATGTTTTATTTATTTATTCATGAGAGTCAGAGAGAGAGAGAGAGGCAGAGGCAGAGGGAGAAGCAGGCTCCCCGCCTAGCAGGGACCCCGATGCGGGACTCGATCCCAGGACCCTGGGATCATGACCTGAGCCGAAGGCAGACACTTAACCATCTGAGCCACCCAGGCGCCCTCAGCTATCAGTTATTATTAGAAATGTATGTATTGATCACTAACAGCATCTACAGCACAGCTGCTGTGTCCTCTCCTCACCAGATAGCAGACGTTCTCTTAACATATAATGTCTATCCTGCCTAAACTGAATGAAATGCACATTTGTGAATTCTAATTTAAAACTCTTGCTTCTGACCAAGGAAGGAGAATCTCATTGAAACCAAGGTGTCTTCTGCTCCCTTCTTCCCACCCCCGGACTCTGGTAAGTGAAGCAGACGTAGATTAAAGGTGCCTGGTGGCCTCATTATCCCGGGGAGACAGACAGGAAGAGGTAAATAATATATCGGCTCAAACAGGGTGGAGGAAGCACCTTAGTGCAGAGCCCACCTCAGGTGGAAAACACCCCAGTTTTCACCAGAAGGAGGGCCTGTCATCTGTGATGGAAAAGGTCTGAGGGGGAAAGAATTGGCCTTGTCCAGCCCAAGGGGCTTGGTCTTACAACACGATGGCTCCCTAGATGTTCTTAGAACAGAGCAGAACCAAGTCCAGGCTGAGCCAGATTTGTCGGGGCTCGAGTTCCATCAGCCAAGGGTTAGCTTGTGGAGAGAGGAGCAGGGTTGCCCACTGAGACCTCCCGGACCTCATTCCTGACGGCTCGCAGAGTGCGTCCAGAGGCAGGACAACAGGCACCACAAGGAATCCACGCCGTGTCCTGGGAGACGGCTGAAGGGTGATGAGGTGCCCTAGCGGGCACTTGGCCATTCCTGCTGCAGAATGGGAGCCGGCCTGCTGAGGGCGGCTTGGACCTGGGTGGGGAGCTGCCGGAAAGCCTTTCATTGCTGATAACTCGCCGCCAGTGCCTCGGGGAGGTCTCACTCCTGGCTGCACCTGTTGGCTCCCATCCACTCTCCAGGCCACAGTTGAGATGGCACCTTCTTCTTCAGTGGCACATGCTCCGTGCCCACTGCTGTCCCCAAATGAGGTTTGGTGCCATATGCAGCTTCTTATGGCCACTGACCCTGGCTTTCCTAGCCCAAGGACAGCCATAATTCTGCTCCATGAGGGAAGGCCATGTCCACCTGGACCCATGTCTCCAGGACCCACACGGTGCCTGCTCACAGGAGCCTCCTGACCAATGACAGTGGAAGCATGAGGTCCCAAGCTGGGAGGGGCTCCAGATGGAGTTCCCCTCATGCACGCAGACATTCCAGCAGAAGCCACACCCCTTGATGGGATAACAAAGGAAACCCAGGCACCAGGACTGGTGTGCTGAGTCAGTCGTAGTGACCTATAAATAATCAAGACAACCAAGAAGAACGTTCTTTGTAAACTCTATGGTGCTGTGCATCCTTGTAAAGACGTCCTCCAGAAAGAGAAGGGGTAAAGCCCTTGCAGAAGAACATGCTTGTCTTCTAAGCTGAAGTATGTTTCTGGAGCGCCTGTGAGGACGTCTGTGGTTTCGTCTGCATGGACACCTGCAGCAGCCCTGAGGACAGGTGGAGGAGGCGCTGCATGCGGAGGCGTCCACGGGGCTCCTGAGGCGCAGAGAAATGGAATCCTGCTCCAGTCACAAAGCCGCGTGGGAGGATTCAGAAGGAATGACCCACAGAAGAAAGGCTACAAATTCCAAATATCAGAAACTCAGCCATAAAAACACCTATTTGTAATGGCAGAATATGTGTAAAACCATTAAAAAACCATGTTTAGAAGAAATTCTAATCAACACAAGCAGGACATCTGGTATCTGGGATTCACACACCTGGTATCCAACCAACTTTATCTCGAAATGGCTCTAACTTCCTGGGACAGTTTTTCCCTTTCAGCCAAAGAGCTTAATGCTTTGAAGACATGACCCCTTTGCCACGCTGATGAAAGGGACCAGCAGCTCTCCAGAAGCAGGCACTGGTGTTTGCCCAGATTGAAGAGTCTCATACAAGCAAGAGAGCCCACGCTGGCCATCCCAGGGACTGCATCAGCCACCTCCCCTCCCACAGGCCGTGAAGGCGGGCCCCGTGGACCTGGAGGGGTGTTCACCATGTGGTCCTCAGCCCCAGAAGAGCCAGGAGGAGAGAAGAGAGCTCAGGAGAGCCCGAGGTCCTTCCTGAGAATCCTCTGCTGGGTTCTTATAACAGGCGAAGAGAAAACATCACGGGACCTCCACTCCGTCGAGGAGGAAGGGGCCCCTGCATCAGGGAGGGTCACCACACACACCTCCGGGACAAAGCACCAGACGACGCGGCGCTCAGACCAGACAGTTGTGCACAGGCTGGCTGACCTGGAGACACACTCCCGGCGAAGCCTGCGCTCCCCCGTCAGACGAGAGGGGCCTCGCGGACCAAGGGTCTCCAGCGTGCTCTGGAACCTTTCCAAAGTATCCACAATGAGTGTGTGTCGCCTTTATGAGCAGAAATAAAAGGGGACTATTTTTTCCATGTTCCTACATGTATCCCATTTTCTACCCCTGGAAAATTAGCCTAAGGAAATAAATTGAGCTCTAGCAAAGAAAATATTTTCAAAACAAGTTCATGCCAGCTTTATCCAGAAGAGTAAAGAGTTTTACCATTTCGAACATTCAAATAAACATTAAAAAGACAAAAATGTTTAAAAAGCAAACTGAGTAAAAAGAATGTTATGTAGAAATGATAATACTTCAAGGGTAGGGAAATGCTTCTGTCATAATATAAAGCAAAAAACATGAGATGAAATTATGTGTATAATCCATAAATCCCTAAAAACAGACAATAAATGTTGTGTGTGGAGAAAAGCCTGGAAGGACACACTAAGACATGACCTGTGGATGGTGAGCACAGATGATTTTGTTTTCTACTTGTGTCTCTTTCTAGATTTCCTGGAAGGATCAGCTATTGCTTTTGAATTTGAACATTTTATTTTCAAGTATGAAAATCACACCTGGATTTTTTTTCCTCAGGGAGAGAAACTTATTCTTTTTTTTTTTTTTTAAAGATTTTATTTATTCATTTGAGACAGAGAGAGAGAGAGAGCATGAGCAGGGGGAGAGACAGAGGGAGAGGGAGAAGCAGGCTCCCCGCCGAGCCAGGAGCCCGCTGTGGGGCTCGATTCCAGGACCCTGGGATCATGACCCGAGCTGAAGGCAGACGCTTAACCATCTGAGCCACCCAGGCGCCCCGAGAAACTTATTCTTTAAGGTCACAGACATCCAATTCCTGGCTCTGCCTCGGCTGACCAGTGGGCGCCCAGCCAGAGGTTCCCCGAGAGCCGGCCCCAGACAGAAGGGCCCACGGCAGAGCGCCACTCACCACCACAGACCCGCCTCCACGGGGCTCCCGCGCCGGGTCGGAAACCAGCTCTGTGCCTGGGAAAGGAGCAGATGTGGCTTAAAATATCACAACGCGGACGTTACGAAGGATCCTCCGAGCTGTGTGGGCCGCGCGTGTGTTGTGACCCTCGCAGGGTCTCTCAATTCCTTTCTGAAAGCACGTGAGACCCAGGGGTCATTGTTCCTACGGCACTTTGGTGAGTGGCCGCGTGGACTCTGACGACACGTCCGCTGGGACCCCGCGCACGGAGGTCGCCTGCAGCAGGCTGCGCGCCCTCCACAGTGGCCAGAAGGTGAAAGGTGGTGCGACATCCCAGCTCACACCGAAAAGGGAGCGAACATTTGCCTTGTAATGAAAACAACCCCCTTCGCACAATAGGATGATGGATAATGTATCAGACCAAACATAGGAGGCTTTTAAAATTTCACGTTTGGAATTGGCCAACATCAATTATTTAAGCACAAATTGAATTAACCAAATATTCAACATATGTTCTCTTTAAACTCTGCTAAATCTGACGCAACATCTGAAGGTGGACGGAGGGTCAGCCTGCTGACAGGGAGGGGCCCCAAGGTGGGCAGCACGCCCCGCGCAGAGGCCTGAGCTCGCAATTCCCCGAAGGAACGTATGATTAATGCCGCCACGAAATGTATGCCTCTACCTGACCCCGATCTCATCAAATCCTGCCGCCACCATCTGCTGTTTTTAATTCCTCTGCAATATCTGTATTTGCCGCCTCCCTCCGACAAAGGCGGGGGCGGGGAGGAAATGCTCCTGCTCGGCGGCCGGCAGGAGCTGGTTGGCTGGCGGAGCCGCAGCCAGAAGGCATCTGTTGCTGGTAGGCCCGCAGCATCTGCTACTATTTCTCACTTTCCCCGCATGCTGTGGGGTACGGTTTCTCCCAAAGGTGGGCCGTCCGCACTCGCTGTCAATCCGTCATTGTCCGCCCCCCTGTTCCCACGGCGCCGGCCTCGTTACCATGCTGCTGGCCTTTGCTGGCTGGCTGTCTGTAATCCAAGATATTGTGTCATTGGGCAATGCCATTAACCCTTTTCCTACGCATCAGGACATTCAATTAAGCCCGGCAGGAGAAGCAGATTGAGAGGGAGGGCCGTCTGGTGGGGAGGGACCATCGCTAGGAAGCCAGAAAGTTTACCAGGATGACAATGACAGCAACCATCAGCACTGTCAAAATAGCCCTTGCTTTCAGAGAGGCAGAAATGCTCCTGGACAGGGGAGCATTCCCTCTCTCACGGGTTTTTAAGGTAAAATGCTATCAAAAGATGCGTTGTTTTTCCCCGGTCCTTGATAGGGCTATCAAGCACTGTAATAAAATGTGTGCGTGAGGCTATTATTTATGTGTCTGATCTGTAAGCAGCTCTGCTAATGGGGTGCAGCCTGGTGGCCGGTTCTCAGAGCGCCCCAAGCTGTCATCTTCCCGTGTCCTTCTGTCAGACCCCGAGCAGGAGGCTCTTCTGCTGGGGCGACACACAGAGCCGTCCTTCCTCCCAGGAGCCGTTTCTGACTCAGTGCCGGGTCCCAGGGGAGCAGGCAGCAGGGAGGAAGGGGTGTGCGTGCCCGCCAACCATGGAGCGCCTTCGCAGAGTCAGGAGGCCTCAGGAATCCCGCCTCGAGGCTCACAGCTGCGCCTCCCCCTGCCTCCACTCCTTGTGCCCTGGGGTGGGTGGGCCTGAGCTCACAGAGCTCAGTGCCCCAAACTCCCTCCAGGGCACCCAGCAGCAGAGGAAGGCTCCGGCTCCAGCCTCCAAGGAGGTTTTGTTTTTAGACCAAGGGCCCCAAGGCCACATGCTCACTTTGCACATGAAGTCCAGAGCACAGCCAAATTTGAAAAAGTAAGTACTGAGCAGGAAAAGATTTTCTTAAATGAAAACATTCTTGATGTCCCTAAGTATACCATATTGAGTATCCTCTCAGTAATCCTGGGCATTCCAAATTTGTAAATCTTCGGCAATTTATAAAAAGAGGGGGACATTTATCGAATGCCTACGGTGTACTAATAGTAAATGAACAATGCGTTTGTTTTCTGCTCCCGCCAAATCCAGAGATAACATGGCCGCCCCACTTTACAGATGACAGATGCCTCCGGAAGCCCTTCCGACTGGCCTGGTGTGGGCTCCAGGGACAGCTGGGAGGGGTCCGAATCACATCTGGCCTGGCTTATTCCCCAAAGCCCTCGATATCACAAAATAGAAATTCACAAAATGCAGGGGGCTTGCAGCTTGGTCGACGGCAGGCAAAGTGTAGGACCCTGCCTGTTCCCGGACAAAGCGACGCAGGTGTTTTCGTGGTCTCAGGGTCAGATTCCGCAGGGCAGGAGCAAAGCCTGAGGGCTGGGGACCCGCCCCGGGGCCCGCTGCACAGCCCTGTCTGTGGGGGCCCATTCCGCAGGAGTGGTTTCTCCCTGGGGTCCGGGCCCGTGAGAGCCCAGCAAGGGTGAAAGGAGCTGTCTGCGTGGTGGGTGCGTCTATGCCCTCCTCGGCGGGAGCGTGGGAAACCAAATTTTACAAGTCTGGTTGTTTGCCTCCCAAACCAGAGTATGTGATCATCCACTATCTTGCTATTAATTAGAATGTGTCCAATCCCAATTAGTATTTCATGGCCACATAAAACACAAGGTCAGCGCCCAGGCTCTTGGACAATTATGTTGCCACCTGCCCAGAAGGTTCTGGTCTCTGGGAAGGAGCATCCCCAGCTGCCTGCCGGTGCTCAAACCCTGGTGCTTTCTGCACGCCATCTCCGTCCTTTCTTAGATGAAACCATGTGTCTGATGGACAGAAAAGAATGCAAGAGGAATGGCTTTCAGAGCAGAAAAGACCCCGTTTCGGGTGATGGCTTCTCTCTAGCTGGTGGAGCATGCACACGAGGCCTACCCACTCGGCACCTCAGGGCCCTTGCAGGGACCGCAGGGGAAGAAAGCCAGAGCGATGATGTCGGGCTGCTGCCTCCCCAGTCCCGTGAACTGGCTACCTGAGTGATTCCTGGGAATGGCGTCGTGACCACGTCAGGGGCTCACCTCCCGCCATATCAGGTAGCCTCCCGGTCAGCTGCCACCTTCATGAGCTGCAGAAAGAGGTAGGGTCTAAGGACAAGGGCTGCTGGGTCATGGACACCGCCCACCCTCCCCACCGTCCCGGTGGAACTGCACCGCCTGTAGGCCCGGGAGACACCCACAGTTACTCCACCTGCTGTCAGAAACCCAGCCCCTCCCCTGTGTCCCCAAGCACCTGGGGTGGCCACAGACCAACCCTGGGCCCCTCTCTCCATCCTGTGAGACCCTATCTGCTCTGCTCAGCTCTCGGGGCTGCCGGCACGGTCCTTTGTAAGCGGTAAAAAGGCAGTAATCCCAGAGCTGCAGGTTCGTCCTGGATCCCTGCAGTAGGGCTGCTGCTGATGGCGAGCTTCACCCACATTTACGGAGGGAGGGCGGGAGGGCGGGAATGTAGCCACACCCTGCATTACAGAGAGGACACTACGATGACGCGAAGTGAAGGGACTAACCCAGGTGTGCCAAGGACAGGCCCATGTCGGCAGGCTCCAGGCCTCCCCAGGCCGCCCGCAGGTTCACCCCACGGAGGGAGCTTGGGAGTTTTAAGACACACACTAGTGGGGGCAGGCGCCAGGCTCCCCCAGAGAGGAGCGCGGCAGTGGGAGGAGGGCAGCCCCACTCGGCCGCGGCACAGGCTGTGAATCTGCACAGAGGGGCCCACACACAGCTGCCTGATGCCATCTCCCCCCACCACCGGAAGCAGCCTGCCTCTGCTGCAAGCTGTCACCTGCACCCCACTGTGGGTGGGACACCCCCGGGGCAGAAACTGCGGCCCTCCAAATCAGGCCCCCAGCCTCTTGGAGAACCTCCCCGAGGGAGGAGGGCAGCAAGGGGAGAAGGGCAGGGCAGGAATGAGGGCAGGGCAGGGAGGAGGTCAGTGGGGGGAGGAGGGCAGGGAGGAGGTCAGCAGGGGGAGTAGGGCAGAGGGGGGAGGAGGGCAGCGCGGGGAGGAGGGCAGCGAGGGGAGGAGGGCAACAAGGGGAGGAGGGCAGCATGGGGAGGAGGGCAGCACGGAGAGGAGGGCAGTGAGGGGAGGAGGGCGGCGCGGGGAGGAGGGCAGCGAGGGGAGGAGAACCACCTCCTAGGCCCCCAGAGCGCTGGGCAGGGATGGGAGGAGGGCAGCGCGGGGAGGAGGGCAACAAGGGGAGGAGGGCAGCATGGGGAGGAGGGCAGCACAGGGAGGAGGGCAGCGCAGGGAGGAGGGCCTGCAGGCCTGGGTCTAGATCTGCAGGAATATGTGAAGCAGGTGCCATCCTGTGGCTTTTGGATCTTTGGTCGGGTGACCTTGGGGAGGTGGTGCCTGCTGGGGTCATTCCTCCTCTGGCGCCAGGCCAGGCTCTGCAGGAACAGACATCCAGAGACCTGGGGAAAGATGCAGAGTCGCAGAAGGTGGTGGGGGAAGCGCAGCTGCTGGTCCTTTTGTGATCACATCCACTTAAACCCAAATAGAAGGGCGGGCTGAAGTCTTGTTCTCCTGTGAACACCGGCTGTACCCTCGGGTGGCACAGCTGCCCCGGGCGGGGGTGGGGGAGGGACAAGATCTCACCCCCCGTCGTGCAGAGGTCGGGGGGCAGCAAATAGGGTAACCAAACACATGAAGAGCTAGCCAGGAGGGAGATTCACCTGCAGCCAGAGGGGAGGTCTCACCTGGAGCTGAGAGTTTCACCTGGAGGCAGAGGGGAGGTCTCACCTGGAGCCAGAGGGGAGGTCTCACCTAGGGTTGGGAGTCTCACCTGGAGCCAGAGGGGAGGTCTCACCTGCAGCCTGAGGGGAGGTCTCACCTAGAGCTGAGAGTCTCACCTGGAGGCAGAGGGGAGGTCTCACCTGGAGCCTGAGGGGAGGTCTCACCTGGGGTTGGGAGTCTCACCTGGAGCCAGAGGGGAGGTCTCACCTGCAGCCTGAGGGGAGGTCTCACCTGGAGCTGGGAGTCTCACCTGGAGCCAGAGGGGAGGTCTCACCTGGAGCCTGAGGGGAGGTCTCACCTAGAGCTGAGAGTCTCACCTGGAGCCAGAGGGGAGGTCTCACCTGGAGCCAGAGGGGAGGTCTCACCTGGAGCTGGGAGTCTCACCTGCAGTCAGAGGGGAGGTCTCACCTGGAGCTGAGAGTCTCACCTGCAGTCAGAGGGGAGGTCCACCTGGAGCCAGAGGGGAGGTCTCACCTGCAGTCAGAGGGGAGGTCTCACCTGGAGCTGAGAGTCTCACCTGCAGTCAGAGGGGAGGTCTCACCTGGAGCCAGAGGGGAGGTCTCACCTGGAGCCAGAGGGGAGGTCTCACCTGGAGCTGGGAGTCGCACCTGCAATCAGAGGGGAGGTCTCACCTGGAGCTGAGAGTCTCACCTGCAGTCAGAGGGGAGGTCTCACCTAGGGCTGGGGAAGGCGGTCTCAGCCACTCTGGGGGTTCCAATTCTCTGACAGCTCTCTCAGCTCCTAAGACCCCTCCCATCACCCCCCTCCTACCCCCAGACCCACACACACTCACACTCTCCTCTTGTGCTTAGGTGGGAGTTTGGCATACCTCCTCCTCAAACCTGGACCCAGGTCCTCCCCTTGCAGAGCCTCCCACCCCATGCCTCCTCCTCGTCCCCACATTGTCACTCCTTCTTATCTTTAATTGCACAGATGTTCTTCTCCCTTCTTCAGGCCCCCCGGAGGGAAAGGAGAGGAGATGAGGGTAAGGGGACGGGGTCGGAAGTGCAGGTAGAGAAGGGTCTATAATTTGCTGCTGGTCCTGACCCCACCACCCTGCCCTGCTCCGGCCACCAGCAGTCCTCAAAGTCAGGCCCGCACAGGTGACCATGGTGGGGAGACAGGGTCAGGTGCCCCAGCCCCTCAGGTGACGCTGCTCCCGGGCCGTCCATCCCTGTGGGACACGCGTGTGGCTGGGGCCAGCAGCCTCTAAGGGGAGGTGAGGAGATGCCCAGAGCAGACAGGATAGACTTAAAATGCCTATTTACTACTGTTAGCCTAGCCACTCCCTGTCCTGCTAACAGATCAGAGTGAACCCATACCATACCCTCCTAGGCCCTGGGACGCAGTCCCTCCCCTCCTCCTGCTTCCTACCAGGTGCTAAACATGTGCAGTGGGACCCAGGGTGGGAAGTCCACCACCCCCAGCACCCCTTTAATGCTGGAGCCTAGGGAAATACAAACCAAACCCCAAAACCCAGAACAAAACCGGTGCCTCTGACTTGAGCTCCATTTCTCACCTGAAAGACAGAATCTGACATTAAAATTGGGAGTGATTTAATCCTGGATGTTATCAGGAGGTTCTTGAAGAGGCAACTGGGTGGGGAAACCAAGGCAGAGGCCACGATGTTGACAGCCTCCCTGGGGAGCGCAATGCTCAGAGCCCCACCCGTGAACCTGGACAGAGTTAGTGAACATGGGCCCGGCTCTCTTCTGAGATGCCTCTTTTATGGTGGAAGGGTGCTGCTGGTCCTCGTTCTTGGTGTTGGAACTGGTCTTCCCCTTTGCTTTTTGCTTTTTTCCTTGGAGGAGTCGCCCATAACGGATTTTTTAAGGAGGAATCCGTTCATCTTTGTTTTTCCAAGACCCTCTCAGTGATGGAGTGGCTTCTGCCCTCCGTGGGCTACACATGGAGCACATCCGAGCCGTCCAGGGAGGAGCACAGCCCGCTGCTCGGGAAACTCCGGCAGCAACGGCAGTGAGGACGGCTCAGGTAGATGCGGGCCCCGCCCGACCTGAAAAACCAGTCACTCCACGGCCTGGCCAGTGGCACCTAGGAGCTATTTCATTTTCCTTAAGGGTTGTTATAATTCATCTAAAGAAAAAATAATTTTTATTCACTGAACTTTTTGAAGTTCCTGTTGGACACACTTTACACACTTTTCATTCCAAAGGCTCAGAGATGGGCTGCAGGACACCAGGGCCCACGCGGTGGGGGCGGGTGCGGTGCCTCAGCGGCCCAACCTTCGGCCGTCCTGGGTTCTGTTTGTAGGAACAGCCTCGTTCATCCTCGGTGCACTCCACAGGCTGCGACAGGAAATGAGGTTATGAAACAAATGTTGAAATGGAGAAACTGGGCGCCTGGGTGGCTCAGTTGGTTGAGCGACTGCCTTCAGCTCAGGTCATGATCCTGGAGTCCCGGGCTCCCTGCTCGGGAACTGAGCTCGGCAGGGAGTCTGGTTCTCCCGCTGACCCTCCTCCCTCTCATGCTCTCTGTCTCTCATTCTCTCTCTCTCAAATAAATAAATAAAATCTTTAAAAAAAAAAAAAAGAAAGAAATGGAGAAACTGAGGCATGGAGATGGAATTTCTCAAGGCTGTGTGGAAATCATTTCACTGTTTGGAAGAAAGCCTTTAGCTCCCATGAGACCCCAGCGCTTTTATTTCTGTGTATGATTTTTTTTTTAATTAAAAAAACCTCCTGGCGCCTCCATGACAACGGGGCCTGTGCTCTGACTCTGAGGAAAAGAGAACGTGTCTTCCCAACCAAGAGCTGTCCAGACTGTCCGTGAACGGATTCAAGAGGCGGAAAGTCTACGGTAAAAAAGGAAAAGGAAAGAAGACCCAGGGGGCTCGGCACAGACATCCATCGTTAGCAAACGCAGACTCCGGGCAGACATTCAGGTGTGTGGTCCTCGTCTGCAAAGAGTCGGTGTTTGTGAAACTGTCCTCAGTGATCACTCTTGGGTTTCAACTACAGTGAAAGTACGTGGCACCTCGCACAACTCGAGCCCTCATTGTGACACTGCTGGTGAGTTCCCCCAGAGGAACCGGGGGTCTCAGCTGCAGGCCCTGGTGTTCATCTTTCCCTTGGCCTCCAGATGCACCGGAAGTGGCCTTCTGTCACGTGGGTCATGGGGTGACAATGTGATGGAAGTGAGCTTGGGTAGAACATGAAGAATGTGGCCTCTGATCTGCAGCCCTTTCCGGGTCCAAGCCCCAGTGGCCTTGTGTGCCAGACACACATCTGGGGGAAGAATGTCTGTTGTCCAACAGCTCTGGGGACAGGCTCTCCATTTTGGCCACATCCAAGAAAACCCCAAAAGTCCTGTGGTTCTTGTCCCTGCTAAGAGCACATGCCAAGTGATCCTTTTGAGCAAAAGGGGGAGTAAGTGAAAATCTCAAAGGGACTCGGGCTTCTGGAAGCCGGGGCAGTCTGCAGGCCCAGGAGAGCCAGGACAGGCCCCCTGTCACTCTCTTCCCGGAGAGGCACTAAGATGTTTCTGAGATGCTGTTTGGGAAGCCTTGGATGAAGTGCGCGATCCTCCATTAGTCCTATGGGTCCGAGCCATGTGTAAACTGTAAGGCCCTCCACAAGCACATGGTACGACGCGTTACTTGTCAAGCCTCCTGGTGGCTGATGCGGGCAGGCCCACAGCTCAGCGGCCGTGACAGATGTTCGTGCTTTGGTGGCCCGTTCTGGAGGAAACAGGTGTCTCCAGGGATAGGCCGTGTAAATGGTGGTCAGAGGCTCCCGTGTGAGAAAGGCCCCCACCTGCGGTGGCAGGAGAGCCAGCCTCACAGCATGCGTGGCCCCTGCCAACCAGTGCCGACTCCCGGAACTGTCTGACAGGACGGCATTTCCTCGAGGTCACCTTTGCACTTGGG